AAACAAAAATCAAATGGTGAATGATTTATAAATGAATGAGTTGAATCGAATGGTAAACCTACTGTTAGACATTTTGGCTTTATAATCAGAACCAATGAAGTACCAAGAATTTTTCTTGGCAAATCTATCTTTTCAAGTTCAAGTTGATGCTTGCCCTCTCCAATTAGCTCTTCCAGTTTATCCCAACCACACCCATTGTCTTTATATTTCTCAAACTTGAAAACCTGTGTTGAAATCAACCATTACCCATAGAGGAGCACTTGGTACTGGTGTGTGTGTGTGTGTGTGTGTGTGTGTGTGTGTGTGTGTGTCTATGTACCCAAACTGCTAGATTCCTTAGGGGAGGAAGGATGTTCAGGACAGAACTTATATCCTTGTAAAAATCGATGTTTGACCAGCTGATAGACTAGCTAATCAGTGAGTGGGTGGTCCAATTACTAAAGGATGTTGCTGAGTGAGTGAGTCAGAGAGTGAGTGAAAGAAGGAAGGAGTAAGTGAATGTATAAATAAGAAATGAGCTAACAAACAAGCTGACTGATTGGCTAGTTTTCTAAACGACTGACTGACTAGTTTAGTGGTTGGTCAACTGACTGACTGACTGGTTAGCTGGCTGGCTGATGGGTAATTTTGGGAAGCAGGGTCTGGTTTAATAGAGCAAAGAAAGTCCAATTGGGGACATGAGACTAATGGTATGAAACAGAGATTGCTCTGTGTAAGCACCCCTAAGAAGAGTATCTTATGAGATGGACAAGTATTTATTAACTTTCTTCTTTTAGGAGTCCTCTTCCTGATGGGTTTCCTTGCTCTCTGTTGGCCTCGGTCAAATAGGGCCTCTGTGTGCTTTGTTTGCAGCCCATGCTTTTCTTCCTGTGGTTGTTCCTCTTACTATGGGCCTTAGCAGTCCTTTGTGTAGAGGACTTGATAAAGGTTGGTTGGGTTGTTCAAAAGAAGACAACATGGGGATCAATAATTCTAGGGGGTAGCTTTCCAAGACTCCCTTAGGTGAGTGAGGCAGATTGTGTTGCGTTCATAAAGCTTTTGCTGCCTGTGGCCTTCTCCCCCAGGAAGTACCCTTCCCTGCCCAGTTGATGATGGCAGCGCTGGCCTATGACTTGCTTTGCCCATAAATGTAAATGGGAAGAGCCCTGGTCTAGCACGTTCTTTCTCCTCTCTGCCATGAGACGGGCCCTGTTCCAGGTTGGACTGCACTGACACCCAGCGACCAGAATTTAAATTAACACACAGTAGGACTGCAGCTGACCCTTGGTATAGGTAAGGGAGGCAGGAAACAAGCCTTTATTGTTTTATATCACTGAGATGTGGGACTTGCTGGTAACTGAGGCATGACTTAGCCTCCCCCTAACTTCCTTCTCCCAAGGAGATTCCACTCTCAGTTCTGCTTGATTCTGGCCAAAGAAGAAAGAACTTAAATCCCCTGTCTACCAACTGGTAGCCAAGAGAGTGACTTAGGTGTGTGTGTACGTGCCCCTGAGTATGGGCTTGTGTGTGGGGGGGGGGGGTGTGCCTATTCCCAGAGGTGGGAAGTAGGAGGAGGGGAGGGGAAGGGAAATGGAGAAGGCAATGTGGGCCTACACAGTACCCAACAAGGTCCATCTGTTTGCAGGCAACTGATATTTTCCTACAAATGACTTTCTGTCTGTGGTTGGGAAGCTAGATAAACCATTTCTTTTCTCACTCTGGCCACTGGACCTGGAGCCAAACCACAACCCACAACAGACCCCGGGAAGTTGGGGCATAGTGCCACCTGCTGGGCCTGCCAAGCCAGTGCAGCAGTTTTCAATTGCCTCCCTCAGAGGCTGGTACCATCCCAAGGGTCCCAGGAAAGCCCAGTGATCCCTCACCTCACTTCACAGCAGAGGATTTAAGGGCCTCAGCCGGCACTCTTCTCATTCCAATGGCATCTGGAGCTGGACGGCACCTAACCTGGAGGGAGGGACCAGCTGTTTCTCTATTGGAGCCAATGCCTTCCCAAAGTCCCCTTGACAGTAATAGATGGCAATGGAGTTCCATGTAGATGAAGTGGTTTGAGTCAGTGCATACAGAGGGTGGGCAGTGGGAACGGACACAGTTGCATTCAGGAGAGCAATAGAAGCTCTTGCTGCGTGGCTTCCATTTACTGAACAGCTCAGACATAAAATACAAGTCTCTGCATTGTTGCCCCCATCCCTGTAGGAGGAGGAGCGCCACTTCCATTCAGCAAATGAGGAAATTGAAACCCAGAGAGGTGAAGTGCCTTGGCCAAAGACCTGTAGTTGGGGCCAGAATTCAAACCCACATCAGCTGGGTTCTAAGACAGAACTCTGTGCTGCCTCTGGCGGCCTCTACACAAACTGCATGCTCTCTGTGCTCTTCACTGCATCCTGCCAGCACAGGGCTCAGACATAAGGGCAACAGAACTCGGTTCTTTCAGCAAGTCAGCAGACTGCAAGATGAGAGGTTGCTGAGCAGACAAATGGTTTTAAGGGAGCAGGCCTTGGCTGGAGACTGACCTCACTTCCTCAGAGCCCCAGAGTAGTCCGAACATGCAGGTCCTTCTGCAATACAGCTATGGAGGACCCACCTGAGCCAGGTCCTGTGTCTGCTAAATAAACTGGCAGTGAGCGGGGCATAAAACAAGTGGCCAGATGGTCATGTCCAGGCCAGCTGAGTATAGCCTCTAAGGAAACCACAGGACATGGAAATTTCCCCTGGGGGTTCACAAAAAGCTTCTGGACCCCCATAGCTAGGCCTCTGCCATCTCTTCCCTGGAAGAATCACTACTCTAGCCCGGCTTGTGTGGCTCAGTGGTTGAGCATTGACCTAAGAACCAGGAGGTCATTGTTTTATTCCTGGTCAGAGCACATGCCTGGTGGCTAGCAATGGACATTATTTTGAATAAAGCACTTTTGATGTTTCTCTTGAAATTACCATGTTTTCTTTAATTACAAAATCTGTACTTTTAAATGGCTGATAATTAATCTGCATTATCAACCTGTTGATAGTTAATCTGCATTATTAACTGGTTAATAGTTAATCTGCATTATTAACTGGTTAGATAATAACGCAGATTTTGTAATAAAAGAAAACACGGTAATTTCAAGAGAAACATCAAAAATGCTTTATTCAAAATAATGTCTATTGCTAGCTACACATTTCCCCCATCTTTCAGGTAATTTGTGGATACCATCCCAATAGAACTTTTCTTGTTTTGAGGCAGACCATTCAGAGACCCAATTTTTCACTTCTTCGTACGTTTTGAAGTGCTGCTCAGAAAGTGCGTGTGCCATGAATTCGAACAAGTGGTCATCTGAAGGAGCAAGGTCTGGTGAATATAGCGGGTGGGTTCATACTTCCCAGGCAAAATCTTTTAATGTGTCTTTAACTGGTTTTGATGTGTGTAATGGTACCTCATCATTAAGCAAAATTACTTAGCTGTGTCTTCTGGCCTATTCTGGTTGTTTTATGATCAAAGTGTGGTTCAGATCGATTATTTCTTGTCAGTAGCAATCAGTATTAACAGTTTCACCTGGTTTTAGAAGCTCATAATACACCACACCTTCCTGATGCTACCAAACGCAGAGCATTGTCTGCTTTCTGAAGCGATTTGGCCTTGATCCGATGTTGATGGTTAACCTGGATCAACCTATGATTTTGTGCATTTGGGAATCTCAAAATAAATCTACTTTTCATTGCCAGTCACAGTTCGATGCAAAAAAATACTTCCTTTTGTGCCATTGAAGCAACATTTTACTGATTACTTTTTGGTTTTCCTTTTGTCTTTCGCTCAGTTGCTATGGCACCCATTTTCCTTCCTTTAAAATGTTTCCCATCACTTGTAAATGATTGGAAAATGTTTGCTGAGAAATGTGTAATCTTTCTGCAAGTTGTTTTTTAGTTTGATAAGCATCTTTATCCATTAATGCTTGTAATTCAAATTTTTCAGTTGACCTGGATGTTCTTTGTCTTTCACATACAAATCATTGTTTTTAAAGCATTTAAACCAGCATTCACAAGTACTTTGAGATGGAGCATGTTCACCATAAGTTTCCCTAAGTATTCAGCAGCACTTTTCTTCAAAATAAAGTAATGAATTAAAACTTCTTTCTTTGGCATGAAATTTGATATTTTTAAGCGTAAAAATATGATATTAATACCTTACAAAAATTTGGCTAATGAAGTTTTGAAGCTTGTTGTCAATACAACAAAATAGCATACATATCAAATTGCACATATATCAACCTATGTGTAACTCCATCAATTGAAAAAAATGAGCATTACTAACCAGTACACTTATTATATGTGTATAAATATTTGCTGGTTTGTTTGTTTATACATAACACTAGCTATAGACTATGTGTGTGTTTGGGTTCTGTGTAGGGAAGCAAGTTAGTGCTAAGACTGAAGAATATTGAGATACAGATGTTGATTTTTAGCTAGGCTTCCTCTGTTTTTTTCAAATAAGCCATACAAAATGTCTGGGACCTGGATGTCCCCATTGCATCTATATCTCTTTAAGGGTTTTTGCATGACTGTGACTTGTTTGAAGAAGAGATTAAAGATCACAGTGAGTCACCTCAGATTGAGTTAGGAGATGAAGGAAGCTGATAAAGACCAGCAAGCGCCACGTTGTCTCCTGCAGGTCAGGAGACTGAACCCACGGAAAGGATCATGCAGGAGGCACAACCTCTCTGTCCAGTGCACTTTACTCTGAGCTATGATGCCTTCTAACCCATTGAAGGTGACCTTGTTCCTCAGCCCTTGGGGACCAAGCAGTTAACTTGAAGAAACTTTGATCTTTTACTTGTGGGTGAATGTTTAAGCCCCTATCCTCAATTCCTTTAGGCCCATAAGCCCTTGGAGTGTGTTCTCTAATTACAATTGATTTGCTTCAGTCTTTCTCCTCTACTATATAACCCTTGGCTGGAGATTCAGGTTTCAGGAGAAAATACCACATCTGCAGGAATGTAAAATCGTCAAACAGCAAAATAATCAGACATTAGTGCCAGAGGAATTACATTTTATTGTTGGGAAAACAGGAGCAGAGGGGAACGGTGAGTGGGTAGGGTATTCAGGCAGGCTAGCCAGGTTTCCAAAAGCTGACAGGGTGATGTAGGTACAAGTCAGCAAAGACGATTCGACAGGTTAGGACCAGATCCTTGCCTGGGATGGAAATTGCCGCTGCCAATTAATAAGCGGTAGAAATCGAGGAAGCTGTCATCCTGGTGCTGCTTTTCTCGGAGCTTGGCAGCAGGTGAGTGTGGCTGACATCTGGCTGTTGGAGGAAGGTGCTGGATTTCTTGCTCTCTGCTTTTCCTGGGTTTGGCCTCTGGTCACATGTGCAGCCTCAGTTTTTCTGGGGTGTGGTGTAGCACTGCATGGGTGCAGGATAGCACTGCTGGGGTAGGGGGCAGCACTGCATGGGTGCAGGGTAGCACTGCTGGGGTGGGGGGCAGCACTGCATGGGTGCAGGGTAGCACTGCATGGGTGCGGGGTAGCACTGCTGGGGTGCAAGGTAGCACTGCTGGGGTAGGGGGCAGCACTGCATGGGTGCAGGGTAGCACTGCTGAGGTGGGGGGCAGCACTGATTCTGCTGAGACATTCTGAGCTGGACGTGCAACTGGAAGAAGAAAGACACAAAAATGAGGACCCCTAAAAGCCTCTGGGCCCAGGTAAACCCCCTGCTAAGTTCATATCTTGCTCTGCTTTTCCTTTGCCCCCTGATCACCTTCCTAAATTGAGGGGTGTGTGTGTGTGTGTGTGTGTGTGTGTGTGTGTGTGTGAATATGATTTGTAGTTAACTGTTTGTAAAGCATTTCAGCTCTTTCTGAGACAAGTAAAGAATAGAAGGAAGGAAGGAAAGAATGAAAGGAGGAAGGAAGGGAGGAAGGAAGGAAGGAAGGAAGGAAGGAAGGAAGGAAGGAAGGAAGGAAGGAAGGAAGGAAGACTATCTGATAGGGATTAGCTGGAGAAATTAAACCCTAAGGACACTGGAGTGATGCCTCCAGAGTGTGGCCATCAGCAAACTCATGAGTTTTGTGTTAAAGCCATCAATCTTTCTTTGCACGAGCGCCAAGTGTACAGAACAGACTTTTTGTGGAGAAGCAATGCATTCAGCTACCTCAAGAACGCATCGCTTCTACAACCAGAGGACAGAAAAGGAATAGGCAACATAGAAGCCACCAATGAAACCAAATGCTCATCTGGCCATTGGGATGATATTATTCCTTGGCTTTCGTGAACATCCACTCTGTCTTCCTCTTTCCACAATCCTCTGTCTATCTTATACACACACACACACACACACACACACACACACACACACACACTTGAACAGCCCCGAGCGTTTATGGGGGCATAAGGCCAGTTCTCAGAAAAGCCGAAAGATGAGATGGAATGTGGACTTCCTTGCCACAGGTCCTCATCTCCCGGGCACACAGATCCCACTCTCTTTGCCAAGAGTTACAAGCATTTCCCTGTGGCCTCTGCCCACACAAGAGAGGCAAAGTCACAGTCAATCTAAATCAAACAATTTTAGGAAACAATTTGGCCATATTCATGCTGCATCCCCATCTCACTGCGCGCTCTCTCTCTCTCTCTCTCTCTCTCTCTCTCTCTCTCTCTCTCTCATTCTCTCTCTCTCTCTCTCTCTCTCTCTCTCTCTCTCTCTCTCTCTCTCTCTCTCTCTCTCTCTCTTTCTCCAAAATATGGTCCCAAGCGAGGAGAGAATGGGAGGGGATTGTTTTCTGTTCTTTCTCCATTCCATGATACCTGTCCCTCAGCACAGTAACCGGAGTCCATCTAGAAGCACAGGTACTGCAGCTGAATCTGACCTGTAAGGATACCTGCACCCACTCTGGCATTCCCCCCATGATGCTCTGCCTGCTGGAGGCCCCTGGTTCCGTTGGCTCATACTTACCAGGCCCACAGGAGGGATGGCTGGATGGGCTTCTAGTGGAATGCTGAGCTGAGCAGGGGCCAGGGCACCCTTTATATTGGTCCCAGATTTGCTGATTTCATAGGTTGAAGGTAATAAACTCATTCCACCACTGAAGTGGGTCAAAGTCCTCCAGCCTCTCCCTGATTTACCACAGGCACTAGAAGTAAAAACAAAACAAAACAAGTAAACAGCAACGAACCCTCAGGGCCCTTATTCACAGACAAACATAGCTCTGGCCTGGCCAGAGGGTTCTGGGGGCTCAGGCACCACGCCTCACTCATGAGCTGGGCACAGGGAGGTGAAGGAGGCAGCTCAGGAACTAGGCCCTCTTTTCCTATTGTTTTGTGACTTCAGCCAAGCATCTCTGAATCTCAATTTCTCCACCTGCTGACTGGGTTTATCCTCATTACTAGGCAGAGATTCATTTCCAAGGGCAAGAAATGGGAAGTTATGTTTCTCTCTGGAACGTCCACACAGGGTATGTGGTGTAAAGGTGGGAAAATTACTTCTCATGAAGAGATGGGATTCCTGGGGATTCTCTTGACCATTAGCCCACAGCCCACCTACTCTCAGGGCCTATCTATAGCTCTGTGCTGTCAGGAAATAAACCCTGTCTTCAGGGGAGAGGGCTTTAGGCCCAAACAGGGACAAATGAAAGGCTTTTGGAGCCTCCTGCTGCGTGCCATGGCTTTTCAGGCTCCATGTCCAAGACTGTAGTTTCAAAACCTCCATAGAAATTCCAGAAGATGGGCCACTCTAGGAAAAAAAAAAAACAGGCATCAATACACAATGTGTCAAATGAAGACTGCTTTTTGTGATGCTAAATCAACCACTTTCTAGAATTTTTGCGGACATGCGTAAAGGTATGAAGCTAAAACGAAATCATCTATTACTTTCTCCACCCTGTTCTCTAAAAAGAGCTTAAGTCATGTTACAGTGTAGGTACTGCAGTGTGCCCCTCCCTGATATTGGTGGTGACTCAGCACATCGAAATAAAGTTCAAACTCATTGCTGTGGTGTTAGAGGCCCTCGCTGAGGCCCTGGATTCCCAGGAGGAGCTCAGTGCTCCCCACCTTGGGGCTTGCCACTCCCAGCCCCTGACTCTTTGTGCCTCAGCATCAGCAGGAAGGCACAGACTATCCCATCTACAGGGTTATCTTCTGGTTCACTTCATGTCTCTAATAACAACTGAGGGCCTTTGTTTGCATTTGGCCACTTGTCCATTTTCTCTCTCTCCCATTGGAAAATTAGCTTTATAAGCCAAGGAGGTTGCTTTGCCTGGAGCGTGTTCCACCATATCCCCAGAACCCATCAGCATGGACCCAGTGCTCTACAAATGTTAAGTGAAGGTAGGAAGGAACGGACCGTAAATCTCACCAGAGGAAGATAACTACTATCAAAGAAGGTAGTGTTATCTGTAAAAACCAAAACAAACAAAAAAAAACCCCCACAATTATGATATAGTTTTTAATAATCTTTATAGCTTATTTTGTGGACATTATTTATTTAAACCACTTCTTTACAAGCAAATAAAAAAACAACTGTTAGAACAATATGAAGACAAATACTCTGCTACTAGTGTGTCACAGATATGCAATGAGTACCAGGAGCAGACAAACCAAGCATGTGGTCAATGTGGGGCATCTCCTAATGTGTGGCCATCAGGAGCACCCACATCCACTCCCGAGGCCAGCGTGGTGCCTCCACATCAATGCCCCCTTCCTTGCTCTCTGTTGGCCCCAGTCATACAAGGCCTTTGTGTGCTGTGTTTGCGTCCTATGCTTTTCTTCCTTTTTTCCCTATGGTTGTTCCTCCTACTCAGCGCCTTAGCAGTACTTTTTTGTGGCCTCCATCCCTCCACAAGGGGGAGCACCACCTCCATTTAGCAAATGAGGAAATTGAAATCCAGAGAGGCAAAGTGCCTTGGCCAAAGTCCTGTTGTTGGTAAGTGGTTGGGCCAGAATTCAAGCCCACATCAACTGGGTTCTAAGACAGAACTCTGTGCTGCCTCCTGCAGCCTCTACACACACTCCATGTTCTCTGTCCTTTTCATTGCATCCTGTGCAGGCAGGCAGGACAGAAGTGGCCAGCAGGGCAGCCTTGTAGTAGAGCCTGTGCCCAGAATGAGTGACCCAGCTTTACTAACCCAGGGTACTGGCCCACTTGGGCCCACTCCCTTTAGATTGTAACTGAGCCTGTAGCATAATCCTGATGAAAGGCTGCTCTGGATTCATTTTAGTCCTGACACAAGGGCTTACAAAGAGGAAGTCACAGTTAACAAGTCAGCTCCAAATGGAAGGTGTATCTTCAGCAGCAAGAATTGGGCTGGCCCTAACTGGTTTAGCTCAGTGGATAGAGCGTTGGCCTGCGAACTCAGGAGTCCCAATTTCGGTTCTGGTCAAGGGCATGTACCAGTGGGGACTGTGTAGGAGGCAGCTGATCGATGTTCCTCTCATCGATATTTCTAACTCTCTATCCTTCTCCTTTCCTCTCTGAAAAAAATCAATAAAAAAAATTAAAAAAAGAATTGAGCTGAAGATCCATGCAGCCTGTCTTAAGACTTGTTTTCTCTGGTGACCTCAAAGGACCATCTCTAATTTCAGCTAATGGAGCTTTCTCACAGAGGCAGCTTTAATTACCACTTAGCTGCCATGTTTCCTCCCACAAAAGTCATCTGGCTCCCAGTCCTGAAACAGACAGTCCTTCTTGGTTGAACCCAGAAGTAGAAGGAGCTCCTGATCAACCCCACTGAGAGCCATGTGTGCTGCTCTTTTGGCACCTGGGTGGGTCCTGAGCACATGCCTGGCCTTCCTCACCTCTTCATAAGGTTCCTGCTGTCAGACCCTATCTCTTCATATCCCTCTTTTCACATCCCCTGTCCTGCACACAGGGATCACCAGCATCCTGGGAGAGCAAAGCCAACACTCTACTCACTACCCAGTCTCTCCTAAAGAGTGTCAAAAAGAGCCTCTTTTGATCAAGACTGATTTTACATCTCTCTTCCCAGGGGGCCCAGTCATAATACAAGATATGATGGGAGATCAGTGGAAAACATTATTATGATTATGGTAGCAGGTGTCACTTTCCTGATAATTCACAAAGAGAATAGCATGTATGCAAGCACACACACACACACACACACACACACACACGCCATTCTAAGCCAGTTTCAAGCAGAGGATGGAGTAAGAACATTCCATGAAGACTTGAATGGAAGGTGGCTGATTGCTGTCAATTGATCTTAAAAACCACAAGCTAATCTCCCCACAGAGATCCTCTAGCTCCATGCACATTTGACTTTCCATTTAGTCTTTCTTCCTTCAAGGCCATGAACAGCAAGTCAAAGGGTTCCTGGCCAGTTCCTCAGGGGCCAGAGGTGGCATCTAAGCATTCCATTGGACATGGCCCAGAGTTCTCTCTCTACCAAGGCCTATGAGAACAACTCAGCCCTGCTTGCCCAGGAAAAGTTTTCAGGTTAAACTTTTGGGGGAAGAAGATGAGCTTGCATAAAAAAGACAGGTCTATATTGGAATCCCAGCTTGTCAACTACTAGCTGTGTGGTTTTGAACAAAGTTTACGACTTCTCTGGCTCATATTATTATATGCAAAATAAGATTTTTTACCTTTTATACTGATAATAAGTATTGTATAGAATATCAATGTTAAAATCCTAGTATTGTGTAAGCAGGTTAGTGCTACAATTGAGGAATATTAAAATATAGATATTTATTTTAGCTAGGCTTGCTCTGTGCCTTTTCAAGGAAGCCATACAAAATGTTTGGTACCTGAGAGTCCACATTCCAGCCTTACCTCTTTATGGCTTTTGCATGTCTGTGACTTGTTTGAAGAAGAGATTCAATAAAGATCACAGTGAGTCACCTCAGACTGAGTCAGGAGATGAAGGAAGCTGATAAAGAGCCAGCAAGCGCCACGTTGTCTCCTAGATCACGCGGGAGGCAGAACTTCTCTGTCCAGTGCACTTTACTCAGAGCTATGAAGGTGACCTTGTTCCTTAGCCCTTGAGAAGCAAGCAGTCTCCAGCCAAAGGGCTGCCTGGAGAGCTGAGGACAGAGAGAATGGTTTCCTTTTGCTTTCATTGAAGAGTGAGATGGAAGCAGCCATAATCTAATACCTAATGGCTGGGGTAAACATTCCAGAAGACAGGGGACTAAGATCAATTGAAAGGAGCCAGGAGTCGCTGTCAATAATGACTGTTCTCTGCCCTGGAGAGAACCCCAGACAACACCATCCCTGACATGCACACAGGGACACAGGTGGCACCACTGTGAGTTGGGAGGAGTTTCAGCAGAACTAGGTGGAGGCCAAGCGACTGTGTCTCAGCGCCAGTCACTTGTAATCCCCCAGGAATGACAGGCAGCCGAGCCTCATGTGAAAACATGCAGGAAAAGGCAGAGCCAACTGAACTGGGCCACACCCACAGCAGGGCCCAACCACTGGATTCCTGGTGGCTGGAGCTGGGGATCCCCCTGAGGCAGAACAGGGTGTGTGTCCCCACATAAGTGACAGAGGTGCCTTCACTTTCCCAGGAGACATGTGAAGGAGGGAATGGATGAGGGGTGGGCAGACCACCCCTGTCTGTCTGAGCCTCTTATTCTGACCTTGAAGCTTGTTTATTCTCATGTTTGTGCTTAGAAAAGTTAAGTAAGTTGGCTAAAATTACTCAATATAAAGTAGGGACGTGGGAATTGAACCTGGGTCTTTTACGCTCCAAGAGGGATGTGTATTTTTTTTTTCCTGCACTTACCCCCATCCACGGTCTTTCTTTATTTGGAATATATAGCTCTATTCTTTTTTAAAAAAATATTTATTTATTGTTGAAAGTATTACATATGTCCCATGGCTCTATTCTTTTCAGAGGAAGGCACTCCTTCTTCCAAGCCCTCAGCACCACACCCTTCATCCTGGCATTTCTGTTCCATGGAAACACACTCAAAGTCAATGGTCAGACATCCCCACGGAATCTGTCTGAGACCTGGGGAAAGGTGACAGGACAGACCACTGAACCTGAGGACAAAGGCTGGACTCTGTTGGGAACATTGCACATGAGCGACAATGACACTGTCTGTGCTTATGTATTCAGGTGTCTAGGTATGCGT